CGCCGAGGCCATGCGTACGGCCAAGTCGGCGGTCTCCCTGCGGGAGCTTGGGATAGGGGACCTCCGGGCGAGGCGTGCGATCACGGGGGCCCTTGTCCTGGAGGTCCGTGGTCCCGAGGGCCGCGAAAAGGCCGCGGCCCTGGCGACCAAATTGGCGTCGGCGTTTGCGGGCCGCGACGACATCAAGGTCGCGTGCCCGCAAAAAACCGCGGAGATGCGGTTCTCTGGCCTCGACGATTCGGGGACGTCGCCTCCGCGGTCGCGGAGAAAGGGGGGTGCTCCCTCGCCGAAGTGAGAGTGGGTGAGGTGAAGCGCTCCCCTTCCGGCACGGGCGCCTGCTGGGTGCGCTGCCCCGTCCGGGTGGCGAAGTCCCTGGCCGACCGCGGTAGAGTCGCTGTCGGCTGGGTGAGCGCCCGCGTGCAGCTCCTCCCCGCGAGGCCCCTCCAATGCTACAAATGCATGGAGTTGGGCCACGTGCGGGCGGGGTGCACGAGCCTGGAGGACAGGACCGGCGCCTGTTACAGGTGCGGCCGGACCGGTCATCTCGCCGGTTCCTGTGCGGAGCCGGTGATGTGCCCGGCCTGTGCGCAGGCCGGCCTGTCATCTGGGCACCGGATAGGGGCGGCCAAGAGCTGTGTGGCCACCCGGAAACGGAAACCGGGTGGCAGGGCTAAGAGGGCTGCCGAGTCCGTTCCCCAGGCCCCACCCAGCGGGCCGGGGACCGCGGTTCGGTCCGAAGCCTTGGCGCCCGTGCCCGCTGGACTGGCCTCGCGCCTGTCGGGGGTGTCCTCTGGGGGGGCTGCGGTCTCCCCGGAGGTGAACATGGAGATAGACGTCCTGGAGGAGACGGGGCCCCTGCCGATCAATGGCCAATAGGGGCTCCCGTCTTCTCCAGGCGAACCTGAACCACTCTCGGTCAGGGCAGGCTATGTTTCTGCACTGCCGGGCTTGGGGATCGTCGCGGATCCCCACATCATCTCCGAGCAGCCTAGCTGGGGGGGGGCGGGGG